GACTCAAAGACATAGGGATAGCAGGGCATGATGGTCCATGCTTACAACCGCAGCACTCAGGGCCTGAGTCAGGATAATAATTTTGAGGCTATGTTGAAAAGACCATTTTCCCTTTTTATTGGGGGGGGGCTCGAGACAGGGTTTCTTTGTATAACAGTCCTGACTGTCCTAGAACTTGCTCTGTAGATCAGACTGGCCTTAACTCACAGAGATCCACCTGCCTCTGCCTCCTGAATGCTGGGATTAAAGGCATGCACCACCATCACCTAGCTGGAAAAGACTCCCAAACAAAAGAAAACATATTTGGGTCTCGGGGGTTAAAAAAAAAAAAGGACCGCATTGAAAATCAGGGTGCTTTGTTTTTAAACAGCTATGTGTAGTTTGGAGACTTGAGTCAATGCCAAAGCAAGGAAGCAGGAGCCGGGTGTTCATGGGTGCGGCCGCGGGGAGGTGCTGTACCATCCGGAGGACGCGGACGTGGTTTGTCCATTGGTGGCGCCCAGGAACCGGGACACCGTTTATGTACATAGTGACATGGGGAAAAAGGCTTCACTTTCAGAAAGAACAAACCGCAGCTCTTGCCTCTGGGAATACATGACCTAGTGAGGCATTAGCGACAAGCAGTATTTGAAACTGATGGTTCCAGGGAGGAACTGTGGTAGAATCCGGGAAGCCTTAGAGCATCTGCCCTGAGGCCGCATCTTAAGCAGCCAATGCGACCCGCCAGAGCTTTCGGACTGCTGACCAATCGGAAAACACCCTTGAGCAAGGCCAGGCTTGGAGCCTAAGCTTGCAAAGCCATCGTTTCTTCACTATCTAAAGCCAAGGCGCCCACTAGAGGCCTCAGGGAAACCTACCCGGAGACCTGGAGCTTACACACCTCTACACTCCAGACCTCCTGAAGGCTGAACTCTATGCAGCCGTCCCCCGGGAGGTTCCCAAGTTGGGCGCTGCACCACAAGCCCCACAGCCTTAATCTTAAATCTATTGTTTTTCCATCCCAACAAGTCTGAGCCGAGCGTTCCTTGAGAGAAGTCACGCAATGCGAGCGAGACTGCATGCAACTGCAGAGCAGCGTCTTAATTATCTGGCAAAGGAGCTTTTTTCTAAGGCTGTAGTTTCCTCTTCCTGTCAGATTTCTCCCAATCAGAACCCGAGCCGCACCAAGGGCTTTGTGGAAATGGAACAAATGGAGGTTTAGCTTGTAGTGTTAAGGGTGGAAGGTGGGGGTGGAACATGGGAGCGGGAATTCTGTGGTGGCACACCTCTGCCCTCTAAGCTCTGTTCTGCTTGCAATGGGAGCTCAGTTTCTTTCCTTCTCTATATCATTAACTAGACGTGGAAGAAGTCCTTTATTTTAGATTAACTTTACCAAATACCAGTTCAACACTATGTGCAGGGCATACTCAACACGTGGGTGTGGACATAGACATAAATGTGTCTCTCTGCCCCCTTCTTTGTCGATGTCATCTAGTCGAGGATAGTTAACTGTGAGTGGTGAGCTGTCCACAACATTGCAGATTTATCCCCTAGGCAGAAATGGGGCGATGCAAAACACTATAAGCGTATGAGAGTCCTGGAAGGGAGAGAAGGCTCCCTCCCCGCTTTAAATGACAACCATCCAAACTGGAATGAGGTGATATTTCACTGTTGTCTGATTGTTCACTGACGGTAGTAATGTCAAAGATCATGTTTGTCTACAGAAATTTCTATTCTGGTCCCTTTCCTATTTAAAATTTGAGTTGTTAATGAATTGTAGGGCTTTGCTATTTTGGATATTAATCTCTGATCAAATGTATGGTTAGGAAATACTGTTGCTAATTCTGTAGGTTGCGTTTTAATTTAACTGGTCCAATTATCTCACTTTTTTGTGTATATCTTTGTCATAGCAAGTCGAGCATACACAAAACAGGTATATTTTGTCTGTTTTTCTGAGTTGAATCACCAGTGAATGTTGGAACTGGTTCAGGGTGGGGAAAACTCCGTGTGATCTTGACACCAGTGAGGGTAGGTTGCCTTTAGCAAATGGGGAATAGCCGGTAGGTGCTGTAAGCATGCAGCTTGGAGAAGAGGTGTGGGCTTGTGGAAGCCATGGTTTTGGGTGATATCACAGAAAAGGGGGGCTCTCCTGGGCATCAGCCATACCTGTGATGTGTGAAGCCTGAGAGAGATCCCTGCTTCTTAGACACACAGCTTTGCAACTCACCATGTTTGGAAAGAGCTGTCTACACAGCCAGAGTCCAACTGGCCTGGCACTTGTTATTAACCCCAGAGCATAGCTTGAGGACAGTATGGAAACCTGCAGCAGCTGTGGTCCTTGGACTAAGCCATTAACCTACTAGAGAAGCTTTGATGACTTGCCAGCTGACCCCTGCTGATTCTCGGGTTACCCTTTCCTGGTGCTCCAGCTTCCCTCTTGAGTCATGACTATTGAACCTGCACAGAGCTTTATGATGATTCTTGACCAATCTAGCCCACTATTTAGCCTCCACTTATGTTCCATTATGTACTAGGAGTTATGATGGCATAATTTAAAGTACTCTGAAGACATTTGTAGGTTATAAGCAGGTACTAAGGGCTCTGGGCATCCACTGATTTTGGTACCAGCCTGGGGGTCATAGAACCAATCCCCCGTGGTTGCCAAGGGATACTGTAATGTCCTTTAGGTTTATCCACATGATAACAAATAAAGTTTTGGTTTAAGATTGTGTAGTATTTAACCTGGATATAAATCACATTTTAACAATGCATTTGGTTCTTTGTAGACATTTAGGTTAATCCATGTCTTAGCTATTGACAGTGCCACAATGAGCATTTAAGTATATATGTCTGTTCCACATACTGAATTAATTTCCTCTGGAGAGATGCCCAGGAGTTAGAGAGATGGATCATACACTAGGTCTATTTTTAATTTTTTTGATGTGGGAGATTATTGGATATGTGGATGAGCCTGCAAGAAATGGCTCCACAGGGTAGAGGCAAAAATTGGGAAGCAGAAGTTGGAGGAAAGACCTACACCTAGAAGAGCAGAGGGTGGTGCAGAGCCAGGTGGAGAGCTCCCATGCTCTGCAAACACTGTCTGGAGGTATTTCTGAGGTTGGCTCCAGCTGCATTCTCCTGGAACCCTCTATCTCTTTTTCTTGTCTTCAGAACAGCAGTGCATAGGGCCACATGGAGAGTGGCTGGAAGAATTCTAATACAGGCATGTGTTTAGAGACACGGTGAGCCAGGAAAGACCTCCGTGCTCACACACATGAGCAGAGCCTGACAAGGTGAACTGCCAAGGTCTGTTCAGAGCTGCTGCAGTATCAGCATCGAGTCCACACCTGCCTTTCCACGTGGTCTCTGGTGATGGCAGCTGTGGCACCTGAGTTCAACCTCCTTTAACCTGAGGTAGGCCAGTATTATTCTAGAAAGCAAGCACTGGAACACATCAGTCTCCTTTCTGTCCCCCTTTCCTCCCCAGGCGTCCTTCTTTCCCCTCTCCCCCATGTATGTGCATGCACACATGTGCATGCATGCATGTATGTATATGTATAAGTGCAGGCAAACATGTGCCTTATGTGTAGAGGTCTGAGGACCATTTCAGGTATTGTTCTTAAGTTCCGCCTGGAGGCAGAGTCTCTTTGTTAGCTGCTGTGTATACTAGGCTAGCTGCCCTGGGAGCTTCCACATGGTTCTCCCTCCTGTCTTCCTTAGAAGCACTGAGATTACAGTTGAGTGCTAACCTGGCCCTGCTTTGCCCTGGGAATCAAATCCAGGTCTTCATGCTTGCCCAGCAAGCTCTTTACTGTCCTCTCTGTCCTCTTAACTTGCTGAGCCATCTCTCCAGCCCCTCTCTGTCCTCTTATTTGGCACACACTCTGAGTTTCTAGGTGAGATTTACAAGATATGATGAACAGTTTTCATGTGAGCAGTTGAGAGACATTTAGAACATTTCTTATGTTATGACCATCACCTGTGCCTTCTTCCATGACCACACAAGGAAGTTCTGTACTGTTATTCTCTCCCCTTTCAGCCCCTGTATGTGCTGTCTGATTGTGCCTGTTCTGGACACTGAGGTTCATTCATGTTGTAGCATGAATGGGCACTTCATTCCCTTTCATTGACTAATAGTCCATTAAGAGGACAAACCAGTTTTGTGAACCTATTCATCAGCTGATGGATATTTGGGTTGCCTCTTTTAGAGTGTATAAATGATACTGTTGCTGCATCTGTGTAGCTTCTGTTAGATGTATATTCTCATTTTATTGTGTATATATACACCTAGGCATGGTATATATACACCGTAGTGATGAATCCAGTGAACATGCTTTTTCCAAAGTAGCTGCTATTGGTACTTTACATTTCTGGAAATGGTAATCCAGATGACCAGATCTTAGGTCAGAGCTGTTGCAGTGCAACTTTCTGTAATATTGTAGAAACATTCAGAATCTGTACCCTCTAGTTACTCATGGGCCACATAACCTCACACAGTAGACAAGCTACATCTTTGTATTACATTTCACCTAATGGGAAATTAAATATTCCTTTTGGGTGGTGGTTGTGCATTTCACAGAAGTCTTAGAGATGGGAGATGAGACACTATCCCAGTATAGCTCCCTCCACAATGCCTCTATAACACCATTAAATAGTTAACACCCAACCCCTAAAAATAACTGCCATTCAAGAGATTAAGGAACTACAATGATCTAGGAATTCATACAAACTAAAGCTAGAATTGTATGATTCTCACTAGAAACATAAAGGGAAAAATCTCAAGGTCCCTCCACAATGCCTCTATAACACCATTAAATAGTTAACACCCAACCCCTAAAAATAACTGCCATTCAAGAGATTAAGGAACTACAATGATCTAGGAATTCATACAAACTAAAGCTAGAATTGTATGATTCTCACTAGAAACATAAAGGGAAAATCTCAAGGTCCAACCCTTGTGCTTATTTTACTGAAACCACCCTTTAGCAGACTTTAAAATCTACATGCAGTTTTTATGTCTATTGTGTGACTGATACAGTTAAGGAAATTGCTTATTCTTAGGCAACAGGTTTTTGAGATGCTGATATTTTATAAATAGATTTGTAATTACAGACGGTGTTTCAGAAGCCCAGCCCCGAACAGACCCAGTTTTGGTAGAGTATATTTAATTTATATAATAAACATTGTCATGCTGTCCTGTATTATTAAAACTTAAATAGCACAGTTAACAGGAAGGGGGGGAACAACCTTCTGATTCTGAGGCGTTTTAAAGGATTATCATAACTCACTTAACCCTCCTCAACTCTTCTTTTCCCGCTGGTACTGATTATCTTGCCTGTTCTTGATGATCTGGAACTCTCCAACCATTTTTTATACTGCCCATGGAATCACAATCCTCTCTAAAAATTCACATTTTACTTAATGTGATGCTAATTATACTTTCCTTTAAACTTTATTAGAGCACATTGCTGTACTCTCAAACCTAGTTCTACCAAAGGCAACTAATTTTTTGCTCAAGGTTAAGTTACCTGATCGTGTGTGTGACCAATTCCAAACTCGTGCTGGACTACCATGCCCATCTGTAATCCTATCCTGTGAACAGGCCTAGGCAGCACTGCCCTAAGTCGCTGCCTGTGCCCCACAAAACTCAGAAAACTTCGAGTGGTCTTTACCAACAGCCTTACCAAAAAAGTCCATAACAAATTTTCAATATTTATCTCCCCATCTCCCCTCAAGACACTTTTAAAAATCTCAAAAGTGATTAGATCCTAACTCGAATAGACTTAACGTTTTGGTAGAACCCTCAGCATTTTCACATTAGAGTTTCAGCAGAAAACACTAGCTCATTTACCTATCAGAGCTTAATGCTAACTGCTACAGAACCGAGCATCCCTGTATGGATGTGTCTAACGCTGGAGAATGGTGGGGACAAACTGGGAGTGCCTCCAAACAGACCGTAAGCCAACTATAGACATAGGCCGTTGACCGCAGTTGTGAACGCCCCAGTCGCCACGCGCGGATGCATGGCAAGAATCGGGAAACCCAGCCCTGGCCAGTCCCTGTCCGCGACAGGGTCAGTGTACAGGCCTTTCGAGGTTGTGGGTGGCTCTGAAAAGAGCCTTTGGTGTCCGTTAAGCAGCACTAACGACCAGTAGGGTCTCACTTGCCCTTGGCCTTATGGTGGCTTTCGGTCTTCTTGGGCAGCAGCACCGCCTGGATGTTGGGCAGGACGCCGCCCTGCGCGATGGTCACGCGGCCCAGCAGCTTGTTGAGCTCCTCGTCGTTGCGGATGGCCAACTGCAGGTGGCGCGGGATGATTCGTGTCTTCTTGTTGTCGCGGGCTGCATTGCCAGCCAGCTCCAAGATCTCAGCTGTCAAGTATTCCAGCACCGCGGCCAAGTACACCGGAGCGCCGGCACCCACCCGCTCCGAATAATTGCCTTTACGGAGAAGACGATGTACACGACCCACCGGAAACTGCAGACCGGCACGGGAGGAGCGGGACTTGGCCTTTGCGCGAGCTTTACCACCCTGCTTGCCACGACCAGACATCTTCAACTGATGACCAAAAAGTACAGCACGAACCAGAAAGAAATCAGATGTTAACGGCCCCGTAACGGCCAGCAAGCCCTTATATATGATCAGGAGGAAGGCTAGACTGCACCTTTCTATTGGGTGGAAACATTAGCCAATCAGAAAAAGAATCTGGCACCTCCTAATTTGCATATACCTAGCCCCCCTCCCGAGATGACGTAATGTGCTATTGTATTCAATCAAACGCAAGTCTTGTCTGATCCTTCATTTGAATACGAGGCGTACAAATAGAGTTGGTACGTCGGGCGCGCGCGTTTCTCCAGACCAGGTAGCCAGTATGCCTGATCCGTCAAAATCTGCTCCAGCCCCCAAGAAGGGTTCCAAGAAAGCTGTCACCAAGGCTCAGAAAAAGGATGGCAAGAAACGCAAACGGGGCCGCAAGGAGAGCTACTCCATCTACGTGTACAAGGTGCTGAAGCAGGTGCACCCCGACACCGGCATCTCCTCCAAAGCCATGGGCATCATGAACTCCTTCGTCAACGACATTTTCGAGCGCATCGCCAGTGAGGCCTCCCGCCTGGCGCATTATAACAAGCGCTCGACCATCACTTCCCGAGAGGTGCAGACGGCCGTGCGTCTGCTGCTGCCCGGGGAGCTGGCCAAACATGCCGTGTCCGAGGGCACTAAGGCTGTCACCAAGTATACTAGCTCCAAGTGAGGCGCTGCGCCGGCGTCCTCAATCCAAAGGCTCTTTTCAGAGCCACCCATACAGTCTTTAAAAGGGTCTTGAACACAGTGTGTGGGGTCATTGACGATTGCCACGCACCTGGTTTGGCGCGGGGTGGGGGTGGGGTTCTGTTACTTGATACGTGTTTGGAGTGAGGAATATAGGGCTGCAGCTAAGGGTGGGATGTGAAACATGGCCACGAGAGTAGGTAAGGGGCTTCTGAATCCCCTCTGCAAACCTCAAGTCTTCCCCAGGTGGGTGAGGTCCAAGGGGGATTCTGGGTGCCGTACCCCCGGGTGGCCTCTGAGAGTGTTCCTTTAGAATCTTTTCTGGGATAGACAGGCCTCTTTATCCCCTGGATATGACTATTTTGGCGTTATATCATCCCAACAGATCCTCCTGCACTAGCAGTATGCTGGAATCCAGGTTGAAAAGGTACAGCGACACCCGCAATGCTTGTGTGCAGAAGCTGGATGTACCCAGCTGCAGCTGCCAGCAGATTTAGTGGTTAGAAGATGGAAGGATTTAGGAAAGAATCCGTCGTTTTGAGCAAATGAGTTGCTCACCTAAAGCTGTGAAGCATTGGTAACAGAATTTTCCACACTCAGCATTTGTTTGGAGAATGCCATTTTGTTCTGGAATGTCTCTAGGCAAGAAATCGAAAGAACATCACTTTGCTTGGTATGGATTTTACTTATGGAAAGAGGATTTGTGATACTTATTGGAACTGTTATGAGATATATTGAGTCCTACCTATCATTGTCTCCAGCAAAAAACAATATGTAAATTTTAATTTATTTTTTCAAATAGTCAAAGGGAGCCTGTCTCATCTGGATTGATGTTATCGGGCAGTTTGCAGGAAGGAAATGCCTCCTCTGGAACTTCCAAAAATCTACTTGACCTCACACCTACAATAGCTGTGCCATCTCCCCCTTTCCACATTAAACGATTTTTGACCACTTCATACATTTTAAAGTTAGCATCTGAAGTATTTTTATCCTAAGTCAGGTAGCTGCAAAATTCAAATGGCAACATAGCAAGTTGTTTGTTTTGTTTTGTTTTTGTCTTAAAAAATACCTATTGGGAAGGCAACACCAGAATCAGCTCAAAGCAAAGCAAATGCTTTAAACAAATATTTTGAGTTATTGACCTCTGAGAATTTGTTTCTATTTTCCTTCTGCCTCAAATTCTGCCAACAGCAATTTATATGTGCATTACATTTTACCAATTGCTACTGAAGCTTAAACGTGCCAACCAAATTACCTCAATGTTTAAAAAGGGACACTAGGACAGGAGTCAATGGTTTAAGACATATATCATTAAATTTTGGTATGTTAGTGACACTGAGCCTTTCACTGAGGCTTGAATGGGAGCAGGGGTTGGGTAGGAAATTGAATTCTGGACCTCTATCATGTTAGCCAAGGCTCTACCCCTGAAATGCCACTCAGTCCTCTTCTTTGCCCCAGCCTGGGTTAATTTAAATCCATTCATGGCACAAGCAGTCAGTGTGCAGCATATAGAATTACCTTGTCATAACCACTCTACCCAATACATTTTCTCCTTAGTTATAATTGAAAGCATAAACCATGATCCATCATCAAAGGTGAGACCTGTCAACAGTTCTTTCACCATCTCTAGTCTGTCTGTCTTACTTACTTGCCTGAGCATGCACATGCACATGCAAACACACACACACACACACACACACACACACACACACGTGCGTGCGTGCGTGCGTGTGTGTGTGTGTGTGTGTGTGTGTGTGTGTGTGTGTGAGTGATTATGTAGGCCTTGCTGGTCTAGAACTCACTATATAGACCAGGCTGACCTGGAACTCAGAGATCTGCCTGACTCTGCCTCCTGAGTGCTAGAATTAATGTCATGTGCCACCACGGACTCATGCTAGTATTCTTAATGGTCTCAAAAATAGAGAATTTGGAAGCTAGACATGGTGGCATTGACATATAATAGCAGCAGTTGGAAGGAGCAGAGGCAGGTAGGTCTTTGTGTGCTCAAAACCAGTGTGGTCTGCATGCTGGGTTCCAGGCTATGCAGAGCTACACAGTGAGAGCCTGTCACCAAACAAAACACCAACAGGGTTTACATTCAAAAAGGCTGAATACAATCCTCTATGAATTGGTGCCAAGTGATTGTCAATGCCCCTGATATGTTTGCTATATTGGGGAAGTACTTGGTTACAGACCTGCATGGCCAGGCCCTGGAGTCAACTATCCATTTTAAAATTTTAGCTATGAGTGTTTTTTTTTCCTGCATTTATGTATACCACATGCATGCAGAAGTCAGAAGAGGTGGTCAGATCCCTTGGAAGTAAATTATTGATGGTTGCGAACTATTAATGACCCAGTCATTGTGGGTGGTAGGAATTGAAGTCAGGTCCTCTGCAAGAATATTCTTAACCTTGGGACATTTCTCCAGCCCCAAGTATACAGTTTTAAAGGAGTATCTGCAGTTGCTTCATCTAGATCCAGTACAATAAGTGGTTTCAATAAACTGGAACCTTTGCTTCCAGAAGAAAGATGAGCCTAGCAGATGTACCTAAACATTGTTTAGTACAAAAAATAGAATCAGTGAGCAAATCTAGCACACAATCACAATTTCCAAGTATAATTCTATAACAATACATTTATAGTTGTTGATAATACAATGGTTTAATTTTTTTTCAGGTTTCTCTCTCTTTTTTATTTTTCTGACAAAAGCTGAAAGTTCAGAATTGGCTGCCCAGGTTTGTTTCGTTGGCAGCCACAGCTCAGGATGGGGAAGATTTGTCCTCTTGTAAAATGTGAATATTAAGGAGGAGACAAAGAGTGTAGAAAACTGTGCTGTTGCGACTTTGGAATACAGAAATCTGAGACCAACTAATTGTATATAAGATCAGTGTCTTTGGTTCCATGTTATAACAGTAAAGGGAATGGTCAGGCTAAATTGAAAAATTGGAAAGTGTGGCAGGTGTACAGCAAATATGTGAGAATTAATAATGGCAAGAACTAGGACAATGCAAATGACATGTTCTCTGGATCTGAAAAACTTAAAAGTTAGCAAGGTTGGAGAGGGAAGATGACAGATTTGCAGGCATGCAGTCTGAAACACGGACAATTCCTAGGTCTCAAATAAATGTTCAAGACAAATTTGATTATTAGGGAACCAACTAAGAATTTTGAGCGAGGGAAAAAGCTGTCTCTTTAAGGAGGAATTACCAACAGAAAGACTCGCCTTTACACTACAAGACAGTAAGAGGTTAAATGTTGACAAATGAGTGGCTGTCATTGGAGATGGTGTGAGAAAGCCCATCATTGTCCACACGTGAAGCCAACATGTAATCGGAACCAGGGGCAACTAGGAGATCATGGAAGATGGGCTTCTCTGACATACATTGAACCATTCATTGGAATTTCAGCGGGGAGGTAGTTTGGTCTGTTCTTGCACTTAGTCATTAATGGGAACATAAATTGACTATAGTATGTGTAGCTTCCCCCCCCCCCCGTTGTTTTAAAGGTGCTAATTTGCTTTCTTTAAAAGGATGTTTCACCATTTACTAAAATTCTGTTATCGTATACAACATTTTTTGATATATACTCACGTGCACACACACGTATGCACTGAGGTGAAACAAAAGGACCTTTTATCGTTTAAATACATGCATGGATAAAATGCCAGAATTTCCACCGTCAAGATTTTTGCTTAGTGTTAAGGTTGGAGAGCAGGGGCCTTGCATGGCATTTTTAGACGTTTCTAGTAGAATACTACACAAGACCTGCTTAAACTGTTTTCGGCTGGAAGAGCTCGAAGTGTCTAATCCTGGCAAGGGGAGGAAGGGAGCAAAGCTAGGGAGGAAAATGGCTCCTCCGAGAGCATCAGCCACAAGAGCACAACAACCTGATTCTCAACACAGCACTCCGCACGGCAGGGGGAGGGAGGATGGAGAGGGTGGGAAGATGAGGAGAGAGCAGAGTCTGCAGCTGAAGCCCCTACTCCCTAACCGCGCAGCCCAACAAATGTTCCCGGAAGCGATCTACTAAAATCCGTTCTGTGGCCAAAATTCAACAGACCAATTCCTTTATTAATGTATTATTATAAACAAGGCTTCTTTCTATTACCTCAGGGCCCCAATGTCCAGCACAACGCCCCCGCCCCATCCCAATGCACAAGTGAATGACAAGTCTTAATCACACCTGGTACCACGCTCCTTTTTTGAGACTGGAAGGTGGCTCTGAAAAGAGCCTTTGGGTTGGGGACGCCGGAGCAGCGCCTCACTTGGAGCTAGTATACTTGGTGACAGCCTTAGTGCCCTCGGACACGGCATGCTTGGCCAGCTCCCCGGGCAGCAGCAGACGCACGGCCGTCTGCACCTCTCGGGAAGTGATGGTCGAGCGCTTGTTATAATGCGCCAGGCGGGAGGCCTCACTGGCGATGCGCTCGAAAATGTCGTTGACGAAGGAGTTCATGATGCCCATGGCTTTGGAGGAGATGCCGGTGTCGGGGTGCACCTGCTTCAGCACCTTGTACACATAGATGGAGTAGCTCTCCTTGCGGCCCCGTTTTCGTTTTTTGCCGTCTTTTTTCTGCGCCTTGGTAATGGCTTTCTTGGAACCCTTCTTGGGGGCTGGAGTGGAGCGGGAAGGCTCCGGCATCCTGCTGCACTGGTTGCACCAAGACAAACCAGGAGCGGGTGAAGGTAGGGCTATTTGTCGTCTTTATATTTAAATGAAGGCTCCAAAGAAGTTTCATCTGATTGGACAAACATTAAACGTCGTCAGTAGGAGACACCGGTTCTTCGTTCCCATTGGGCGGTATTCAAACCAATCCGAAAGTGCGTTTGCTGAGCCGGCTCAGGAGTCTCATCTTTGTCTGAATCCTTTGTTTTAACTGGGGAAGACTTAACATCTCAGGCGGTTGTGGATGTGGCTGAAGGGACAGTGCTGCGGAAACCGACCCTCGTTGAGCCAAATCGCCAGCCATTTGTTTCTTATCCACAGATAACGAGGGAGAAGCTTGTTGCCTGCTTAGTTGGAGGAGGAAACGACAGCTTCCAACTGTCATTTATTTCCCGTCATAGTCTCCCTCCAGGGGAAACAAAAGCAAAGACATGTTTCTATGAGGATCCATGAGCGAATTTCAACAGTTTATTGGGAAATCTGAAAACATACTAAGATAGTTTCACTGGGAGTGTGTTGCAGGGTAGACTTTCATCTGGAGAAAGGATTCTTGGGATGTCCATAATGTCCAGAACTGGAACTAAGGCTGGTGTAAGGTTACCGATGGGTATTGTATCTACAGGACACAGCAGGTTATAGAAGTTACGCCTTTCATAATAGTTTTCAGGCACACACCACACACACACACACACACACACACACACACACACACACACACACCACGGTGCTGAGAGAAAATAAAAAGGCTGCATGTTCACATTGTTCACATTTCAGCATCGCTTGGAGGACTGGCTCTAGAAAAGCTGTTAACTCCCTGCCTCATACACATATATTGGGGTTAGGATCCCCATACTATAGTTGAGGGATCCTGGTTTGGAGGCCAGTTAGCTGCCATACCTGGGGCAAGTAATCTACTTCCTTCATACCTCCATTTTTTCATGGGATGGTACACTGCCTGTTAGATGCAATGAGTTCATAAGGGTAAACAGGCTGGCAAGGTGCCCTGCACATGCTAATGCATAATTCCTATGAGCTCTTTTCACATCAACATACAGCCTTTCTATCGCCCACCAAAATACAGAGTGAACTGTAATTCCCCATGCAGAGATGCGGCTGTTTCTCCAGTGTTCACATGGCAAAAGACAGCACAGCACCCAGCAGATGCCCAGTCAATGCACAGTGAAAGAACAAACCTGGAAGCCTATTCAGCTGGCCACTTGGGTTGTCTTGATATTGGGAGACTTTAGGGATAGGGAACCATATAGTCTTAGTTGACAGCATGAGAAAATACTTTCAAAGCAAATTTGTTTAAAAACAACAACAACAACAAAAAATCACTTAGAGCCTACTGGTGGTGGCACACGCCTTTAATCCTACCACTCAGGAGGCAGAGGCAAGAGAATCTCTGTGAGTTCAAGGTCAGCCTGGTCTACAGATTGAAATTTCCAGGACAGCCAGGGATACACACTGAAGCCCTGTCTTGAAAAACAAAAGCAATCAAACAAAAATCACTTAGGAAAAAAAAAAAAATTTGGGTGTCACCCCTTCTATACACAAAATGTAAATAAACCTTGGGTTAAAATTACTTATAACTACCAAGACTCAAGAGCTTACTATTAGAAATATCTATAAATTAGAGAACATTTGCAAATTGTTTAAGAATATGAATAGGAAATAGAAACTTGAAAAAATAAATACTGCTATCATACTAGTATCAAACAGGTGCTTGATAAAACAATGACAAATATTTCACCTACTAAAATGGTGGTTGGTGGAGCTGCACAGTTTAAGCACCTTCATACACTAAAGGAGGAAAGCTGGCAAGATATATCAAGACTTTGTACAGTGTGCTGGAAACCCCACTGTCAATTGTAGTAACAACAATGTTTGCAAGCAAAACTTGGCATTCACCTCCATAAATAGCATGTGTAAAAAAAATGTAGAAGTGACAAGGCCCCACAGGTATTAAGAGTTGTAGTAAAACAAAGCATGGCTCACTTTTATAGTGGTGTTTGTTGTCGCTAAGACAAGGCCACATGTAGCTCATCCAGCCTTGGATTCATGATGCTCTTGCTTCCATCTCCTGTGGGTTGAGATAATGGCTACCACATCTACTCACTAAATGTTTTTTTTTTAAGGCTATTAAGTGAAAACTGAAAATAAAATTAAGCAAAACTTAATAAGCGAAACTGCATGAAGTGCTCCTCCCAGTAACATCAATGTCTCAGTCCCTTTCAGTCCACCTTGGTTGTGTGCATCTACACTGCACGCAGAATGGCCAAAACCCTGTCTCTATCCCTCACTCCAAAGCCACATTGCGGTGGCGACTCACCTATGGTGGGTGATCCTGAATATAGACTTCCTGTTTTATAGTTCGTTTACTGTTGAGATATATATATATATATATATATATATATATATATATATATATATAACCTGCCCAATGGATCTGGTATTGTATAAAGCATAAAAGTTGTCAGAGTAAAAATAACTCTTGTCAATCTTAACAGACTGGAGGGAGCTGTGGAGGCCCAGCACTGAGAGGTTGTGAGGGAAGGGTTATTTACTCACAAATGACATCTCATCACAAGACTCCAGAACCATGAGCTTTTGATCTAAGGGACTGAGAGCCATAGATACACAACAATCCACACACGCATGTATGCACGTACACCCGCATTACTTCTACACAAAGATTTTCCCAAAAAGTGCCTGTTTAAACCCAGACTGGTGCCAATTTTGCTATTGGTAATTTTGTTCAAAGATTATTGTTTAGAAATACTTTGCAAATTCTTCCTCATTTGTGTCTTTGACTATTTTTTTTTTTTTTTTAAATAAGGTGTCTCTGTGTAACAGCTTTGGCTGTCCTGGAACTCCATTTGTAGATCAGGCTGGCATCAAACTCACAGAGATCTGCCTGCCTTTACTTCCAGAGTGCTGGGATGCTGGAATCAAGGGTGTGTGCAACCACAGCCCGCTCCTCACGTGTAAAAACAAACAAACAAAAACAAAAAAACCCCAAAATAACAACAAAAAATAAACCCCTTGCTTCAGCCTCTTTGACTCTCCCACACATATTCACTTAGGCACACAAATCCCCATTGCAGCACTTGGCTTTCCCACGGCAGCATTCTGTTATTGAGAATGCAGTATCAATGATCTGGATAACTTCTCCAGTTGTTGCTTAGACTGGCAAAACCAACAAGGGTTACAGATAAAACACTGGCAATCTGGAGGGCTGCGCATGGAGGAGAAAGGGCAGGCCAGGGAGAAAGGGGAAATGGGAGAGAAAGAGAAGAGAGAGGACGTGGGAAAAGAGAGCCACCAGAGAGCGCTTAGTGGGTGTAAACACATCAGTTGCCAAGCCCTGAGGGCTAGAGTCCAATGCTAGGGCCTGAACTGTGGAAGGAGGGAAGGGATTCCTGCACATTGTCTTCCGGCCCCCAACGCAGGCATGTAACAGGAATTGAAATGTAATTTTGAAAATTAAGAGAATAAAATGGTGGCTTCCATTTCAGACACTAAAGGCTTTAAAAGAGGATCTTAAAAGGTTTTGTTTTGTCTGCACCCCTTTCCCTTTCCTCACTGGCTCTAAAGCACAGTGCCTGGCACTGGAGGACATCAGTCCACATGTGGAACGGATTTCTTTGGCTTTAATAAGCACATTGACAACCTAGATTGGTGCCACTCTGGATGACAAGCACACATCCTTCTCTACTACCCCAGCCAGCTTTCACTCCAGTCACGAAGCAGCACTCTTTTAAAATTCCCACAACTAATACAAGTGACACACTGTCATGGCCAATATATGGCATACATTTGGGAGGGGGGAGCAGTAACACAACATCCAGTCTGGATAAAAAGTCCGGAGAATACAGAGGACCGCTTTTCAGGCTTCCCTGCACGGTTGAACCTTTGGGTTTGGAGCTACAGGAAGAAGCTGGCTGGCATCAGAGTGCATGCTCTGGGGTTTGTATGAACGTGCATCCTCTTCTCTCATAAAGGTAGGAACGGGGTTTAGGCATCTTTTGTCCTCTGCAGTTTCCAGCTGACATCCTTTGGACAAAGGCCTTCCCATCTTACCCTGACTCCAGGGACATCTCTGATGCGGTGGAGGCTGAACACGGGAGAGTCCTTCAGTTAAGAGCGTTGTTTTCTCAGCTGATCGCACTGAGGAATGGGGATATAAGAAGGTAAGGTGGCCTGTTCCTCCCGCTAGGGTTGGCTGAAGGGACTTCGGTGGCCATTTCTCCTTTATATTAGCAAATGAAAAAGAGCTGCGAAGGACTGACAATAGGAGCTATTGAGGCAAATCTCCACAACCAATCCAGCAGCCTGAGAAAAGCCGGGCTACCATCCCCAGCTCTCCGCATATACTCTAAATTTGGTGTCTTTGTGCTCCGGTTTAGCAGCTCCAGCCTCACAGGCTCTGGGGAAATTTTCTTCAATGCAAGCGACCACCTCCTCTCACCCTTAAGTAATTCATGTTTCACCCCCTAAGCAAGGTAGTTAAACGTCTTAGGGGCTATCGAAAGTGATCCAGTGGCTTCAGATCAGTAACTAGAGAAGACATGAAACTGCACACTCAAGCCGACTCGGAATTTATGAGAGTGTATCTTCTCAGGAGATGTGGCAGGGAGGAGGGGCAAGAGGAGCCTCGGTGGCCCTTTAGCACTCCTGGGGGTGCGCTAGGGAAAGGGAACAGGACCCGGAGATGGACCAGAGAATCAGGAAGGGGTGCAGCCTCAAGCAAGCTGCAGGTCACACACATCCCAGACCTTCCCCAGGAAACACCAGAGCCCGCCCTGCCCCAGGTCCCCTTAGTCCCACCCACCCCCACTCCCCACCCCAAAGCATACATATGCAAGGAAATAATCGTGATGTCCAAGAACAAGGGAGAAAATATGAAGGTATAAATGCTCACGAAATGCAACAAATTCCTCACCAGGAGGCGAGGAGGTAAGCCAGCCTATTGTGAAGTCCTCGGGCAAGTAATGAC